TGTTTTAAGTTTTTGGTGCCATTATTGAGCCGCCAATTAAAATGTGAAGGGGATAATTTAAATATATTTTCAAGCAATTCCATTTCTGTCAGGTTAGTTAGAAGTAACAGTTATCATTATAAAGTTTCGTGAGGACTATAGATGTAAATTCATTTCAAGCATATTTCACAATTTTCGATTTTCTCAGTATTTCGACTACATGACATACCCACTGGTATACATATAGCCCTCAACTTCAGACGGCAAGTCAAGTACATGAAGTCTTGAAAAAATAAGTTAAATCACAGGGATAAGACGCTTTCCCCTACCGCTACTCCCCTCCCTCCAGTCTCTGTTACAACCCCTCAAAAATATGATTTCAAGTCAATTTCAACAATAAGTGCGAGTTATAACTAATACTTTAGAGGTATAATGAAAATTGTGTAATAGTGGCATATTATTATAGTTATGATTACTAAATGTGGAAATGGACTTTAAATTATAATTTTGGGGGTTGTAACAGGGACTGGAGGGAGTGGGTAGTGGTAGGGAAATATTGTCAGATCAAAGCGTCCTACCCCTGTGAGTTAAATAATGATGATATATTTTATTTTATTAAAAAAATATTAGTGATCGCTTGTTTAAATAATAAATAACAAACAATTCCAGAAGGAGAAAAAAATACTTGAAAATGTGAAATTAAAAAAAAGAAGATACGACACTATTTAGAGTTTGTCATATCGTATTGTCTTTTGAATAGACAATATAATTGTATCAAGGGGCATATACTGATGGCGTGCCATAAACTCGCCTGTTTACGGTGATTATCGACAATGTTTACATATCTTTACGAGGAAGTTTAAAGTTTATAAACAAGATGGCGGCGTGTGGACAAATTATTTCATCTGAGGAATCTTATGATTTCAACTGTACACCTTGTTCGCAACAGGACAGGTTAATTGAAGCCAAGAGGTTTTGTGTGGAATGTGGGGAGTATTTTTGTTCAACATGTCTGTCATGGCACGAAAGGTTTGGTGTAACTAAAGGACATACTTTGGTAAAATGTGAGAATGTTTCAAAAGACCATGTTCCCTTGACTTTGAGTAAATGCGAGACTCACACAGGAAAGGAGGAGGATATGGTCTGTGGTGACCACTATGTCGTCTGCTGCCGTGTTTGCATAACAAAAGATCATAGGTAAATTTTCTGATTTCGTTTAATAATCTCCCCCCCCCCCCGTCCGATGTCCCCCCGTCCGATCTCACTCTGCTGGTTAACGCGATATGACTCATATCCGCGGAAATGACTTATATTTAACAAAGTTATTTTTTTATCAATTTTTCTTGATACGACGTTTTATAATAATAAAATGATTTTACATGCAAAATATCGTTAAATTTGGTCCTCAAATAAAAAAGTTAAAAGTTATATTCGCGAGGTATTTGAAGTCATATCCGCGGATATGAGTCATATCCAGTATTAAGACACACCGACGCGAGGGTAACATATCTGGTTCGAATGAATTGATTTGCTATATATCTTGAATGAAACGTAATTATAATATTTTGATAAAGGTCATAATTCAATAATATATCTACAGGAGAAACTCCAAAAACTTTCCACTGTAAATCTGAGGCGTACCTCTTACTTAAAACATGTTCTCTATTGTCTAACTCTCAATAATGGATAATGGTGATAACCTGACATACATATGTACATATACATACCATGCAACCGTATGCATTGTCACGCTATATATTGAACACTTTTTTGGGACAAAAATAGGTGAGGCCCTATTATTCTGTCTAATTGTGCATATGTGCATGTATATAGAAAATTTATCGTTTCGAATTTTGATTATAAAAATGATTGTAATTAAAATAGGCATCAGAATGCATGTTTTCATTATATATATTTTCAGTTTTTCATTAAAACACATTATGGCTGAGAAATGATTTTTTTCTTCTTTAGAAAGGGCACAAATGAGTTTTATCATGTGTATTTAAGTGTATTAGACCATGTAAAATGATTATTTTTTGAAGAGATAAGCATTGAATGTAAAAATATTTGTGATAAATGAAGCAAAATGTAACCATGTTAGCATTTTGACTTTTATACAAAATACTTAATCACTAGCCAAAAGGCATCAGAAGCAAAAGACAGTTCAGGCAATAGGCCAGTGAGTAAAGTTTTGAAAACTATAACTGGACATCAAAAATAAAGATCTATTGAGAAATAAAAAGGAAAGCTTTTTGGGGTCATGATGGCCCTTTTAGATTTATCATTAGGATTTCATTAGTATTCGGGAGTATATTCTTTTAATGTTATAGTCCACAAAATTATTTCATTCCTAATTTAACAGCTAGGAGTACATGTATATCATCTACAAAAGTAAACCCAAATAGAAGTTTGTATGCGAAATTGTTCAGAAAATATATTGAGTAGATCTTATACTAAAATATGAAATATAGATATGAAATAAGAATAACCAAAATATTAATGTTACAAGTAACAAGTTAAGTCAACAAGCAAAATTACTACTCAAAATGATTGAAGAATGTATAAAAATGTTACTTTACCAAACCAATTTTTTTACACATGTTTGGTCATTTTCCTCCTTCCATTTAATTGAGGATTTTTTAATGGAGTCGTTTTGATTTCATTAGTCTTTTAAAATATCTGGTTCCATATTTGTAATTAAATCTAGTATTATTTAGCCAATATACGTATAGCTATAATGATTAATATAATTGAAATTAAACACTTTTATCTTTCCAAAAAAAATATACTAGATATATAAATTATGGTTAAAGAAAAAAGGAGAAGAAAATTCTCGACCCTTTTGGGATTTGAACCCAGGACCCTCAGTTTCAATGAAGTGTGGAGTCTTGTTTGATATTTATTTAACTCAGTCCAAAAACATTCAGACTGCTTTGCGCATGTGCATACTGTTTAATATAAGAATATCATAATTTCCACCAGAAAGCGTAAAATTAGAACGACTAGCCTTAATGTAGGTTATAGAACAATGTATTTTACCATTTAATCTCATTCTGACCCATATAAAAGTACATTTTATAAACTTCAAATTACAGAGATGAAAAACAGCATTTTGTACGAAATGAAAAGCCAAGCAGCACGCAAAAGATGCTGCCATGCTTCACAATATGTTTTTCTCAAGTCAGATGAAGTGATTTAAGTAGCAGAGTACAGATTTGAGGCAATTTTATCTTGCCGTAGATGCCGTGCTAGTCGTGCTTATTTGAAGCTTCTTTGTAGAAATTGTGATCTTCTTGTGTTAAGCAGTACGCACATGCGAAAAACGTTTGTACGCTTTCTTGCCCACAGTACCTTTTCCGATCACAGTGAGAACAGGACAAAATCGTGAATCAGAAATTCGATTATAATTCTGTCTGTGAAATAGTCCAAAGCTCGCCATTTAAGTCTGCATCGATATACTTTTATTATAAGCATGATTTTAGACAAAAAGTAAATCTTTGTTGCAATCAATTACTATTAATACATATATGTTTTAATCACTTTCTCACTTTATTTTATTTTATATGTTTTGTATTCAGATTGCAAATGAATTGGATTGTTTAACAATTCAAATGTACCTAGAGGTTTTTGTTTTTGGCTTTCGTAATTTTCATCTCCGGAACTTTGAAATTACATATTTTTTGGGGCAGTTAGGCAGTTATATAAAGAAAGGTCATTTAAAAAAGGTCAGACGCAGTCTGATTCGTAGCACGGGACATTGGTTTATTTTATGAGGAAGCTTTCCAGCGTCTAAAGTTCAGCTGGAAGATTTGTTTTCTTAATACGATTGCATTTATATTCTCGCGGCACTGTGTATACAAGTCTTGTTAACTCACTAATCACCTGCTAGCTTATCAAAATGCATTTTAAAGAGATCATATGCTTTATTGTAATGATTTACATTGCAACGCAAAAAGCACTATACCTTTCTCTTTCAGATCATGTCAAAATGTCGATTTTCTGCCTGATTTGATACAGAAATTTAAAGAAGATGAAACACTTGTAGAATTAAATGAGGATTTGAATGGTAGAAAGGAAAAAATAAAATCTGTACTAAAAGAATACACTGCCCACGCCCTCAAACTTAAAACCAGAAGAACGACGTGCATGAAACGTTTAGAGATGTTTGAAAAATCTATCATAGAGTGTGTTAAAAGTGTTGTAGCCAAGGCCGAGACAGATATCGAAAGCAGATTAGCACCTGAAATTTGCAGTACGCAAGAATATATCCAAAGGTATAATGAGCTACTGTCAAGGCTGGATTGTATGTCAGCAAGTTTGGCAAATGAAAACAATGGTGTTGCTGAATATAAGAATGTATTAGAAGGTAAACGTATACTCAATGAGATTCAGATCGATCCTTGTATGTTCGATGACAAATTGACAACTGACTGTAAGTTTCAAAATGAAATCATGGAGGCCATTACCAGCTCTCTTAAGGAAGGCCAACTATATGGAACTGTAGCAATATCAGAAATATCAGATTCTGGAAATGACTTTGTTGTTCCGAATATGTACGTACAAGATTACGATTCTTCAGCCTTAATTTTATTAACGGACTACTATAACATAAACATAAGACGCATTGACAATTGTTTAAAAGAAAAGGAACGTTTAACAGTTGAAGGACGTGCTTGGGGATTTTGTAAGATTGATGAACACGATATTGCCTTTACTTTGCCAGTATTGAAGAAAGTGCAATTTATATCAGCTGATACCTGTCATGCTTTTAAAACAAGCTTCAATACAGATATACATTGTCGTGGCATTGCATGTTTAAATGAAAAGATTTATGTAACAGGTGGTGGAATGAACGGGGAAGAGCAAGGGCAATTAAATATGTTTGATTTGAAAGGGAAACTACTCAGTAAGTATGACCAAGATTTAGATGGAAACTATTTCAGTATTCCACGAAGCATTATAGTAAATACCGAAGGGATATTCATCACTGATGAACAAAACGGTGTAATTTGTTTAGATTTGGAAGGACAGCGGAAGTGGGTGACAAACAACTCAAAATGCAAATTTCCATGGGGAATTTGCTTCACGCCAAAAGGGAACCTTTTCGTTTCTGGACATTTGTCAAACAATATCGTGATTTTAAGTAAAGACGGTGAATTTCTTGGTGAACTGTTAAACGAAAATGACGGTCTTTCAGCGCCAGGGGCTCTCAGCATTGACAAACCTAATAACTGCATTATAGTTTCTGAATTTAAGAAGCCACATCTGAAGATGTTTTACATTGGTGATTGTGATATGTAATATTAAACTTGCAGATACCAGAAAAAGTAAACCGTAAGAATTGAACGTGTACGGTTGAACAATTTGACAAGTAGATTTATGACAAGACAGCAGGATATATGAAGTATGGTTTATCCGTTAGGGTAATATTTAGATTGTTTTATTTACTGTTATAATCCAATTGCAGAATTTGTAAATAGTATTCTATATATTGACAAAACAAAATAAAGAAGTCAAAATTATTTATGTACACATATATACGGTCCAGACCTTTAAGTTTTTTATAACCATCTTTGAGTCTAAAAATACTTAAAATGCATTCTTAAAGGTTTGAGACCTTATTTTATCACTTATTTGTAAAGTATTTCTGTTGCTATATTTCCACGGTTGAATCTATATTTTACTGGTGTCTTTACTGTCTTGTGTACGGAAGAGTATACTGACCCCCCTTACATATTTTATATGCCTGTTTAGAATACGACGATACATGATAACAACATAGTTCGTAATGGTTTTTTAAAATTTATATATATAGCTCATATTGATCTTTCCTGTTTTTTGGTTACTATACTGTTAAAGATACGTATTATAAACTTAAGTCTTTCTGAAGACCTTACTTTAATTTATAAGAATTATGTTTTTTTCTTCTTTTCATTGAAATTCTACCTCAAGAAGCAGACGTTTTCTTGATGTAAACGCTTTTATTCATTTGAAAACAGTATGTTTTCGAGGCATTATTTGTATGACAGATATAGAGATGATATAATCATATATAATATATTATATATTCTTTACCTGAGTTTTTAGCTTAGGTGATGTTTTATATGTTTCCTAACATAAGTTGATCGTTATGATAACACGCTTGCGGTATACGAATATCTTGCCAGTATTATATAAAATATTATAATTTAACTGATATATATTATTATTATATAAATGGTATTGAAACTTATACTATAAATATTTTTTACATCTTTTTCAATGATTATACATGTTTTTTTAAATATCAAAACGAGAAAAGGGCCATTTAATATTATAATAATAGATGCGACTTATTATACCAAGAGAATCTAATTTAATTTATGAATTCATGAGATTCATATGATAAAGGCTAAAGTGTACAACTAATGTATGTTAAGAAGAACATTCTCTTCTCTTAAATTTCCGAATATCATCGAAGAAACAATGCATATTTGTGATGTATGGTGTATAATAACAGATAAAACTACGGAAGAGTATACTGACCCCCCTTATATATTTTTTATGCCTTCAAGAAAAAAAACAACCTTTGTATAATACATATCTTTAAAAAATTGACAAGTTATATGATATTTAAAATAGATCTTGCAGAGTTTTATCTGTTATTATACACCATAAATCACAAATATGCATTGTTTCTCCGATGATATTTGGAAATTTAAGAGAACAGAATGTTCTTCTTAACATACAGTAGTTGTGCACTTGAGCCTTTATCATATTAATCTCATGAAAAAAGATGTATGAATTTATGAATTAAATTAGATTTTCTTGGTATAATAAGTCGCATCTATTATTATAATATTAAATGGCCCTTTTCTCGTTTTGATTTAAAAAAAAACACGTATAATCATTGAAAAAGATGTAAGAAATATTTATAGTATAAGTTACTCAAAGTTTCAATACCATTTATATAATGATAATATATAACAGTTAAATTATAATATTATATATAATACTGGCAAGGTACTCGTGTATCGCAAGCGTGTTATAACGATCAACTTATTTTAGGAAACATATAAAACATTATCTAAGCTAAAAACTCCGGTAAAGAATATATATATTATATATGATTATATCATCTCTATATCTGTCCAACAAATAATGCCTCGAAAACATACTGTTTTCAAATAAATAAAAGCGTTTACTCCAAGAAAACGTCTGCTTCTTGAGGTAGAATTTCAATGAAAAGAAGAAAAAACATATTTCTTATAAATAAGAAAGACTTAAGTTTATAATACGTATCTTTAACAGTATAGTAGCCAAAAAACTGAAAAGATCAATATGAACTATATATATATATAACTTTTAAAAAACCATTACGAACTATGTTGTTATCATGTATCGTCGTATTTTAAACAGGCATATAAAATATATAAGGGGGTTCAGTATACTCTTCCGTAACAGGTTGACAAGCAGATTACCAGTACTAGTTGCCTTCATCTTCGCAAGGAATTATTATTACTGGTATTACTTGTGTACATACCAGAGCAGAAGTAGAGTGCGAATGACGGAGGAAAGGATCTCGTAATCAATCCGACGAAAGTGACTTGCATCGTCCGGGAAAACTTTTATTTATTTGATGAGTTTACAAATAAATCTCCAATTCAGTTATTCATTTTAATGGTATTTTAGAAAGTATACGCTTGAATTTTCAGCATACACTTTCATCATTCCCTTTAATTATAATCTCTCTGAAAACAACAATAAACAAACTCAAACTCAACAAGTCCAAGGTCGGTATCAAATCAGATATTCATGTATATGAAACAATGAAATTATTGTATTACAAAACATCGTCTTCTCTATGTTATTTTTAGCTCGACTATTCGAAGAATATGAGAGCTATTGTAGTCGCCCCGGCGTCGGCGTCGGCGTCAGCGTCCGCGTCGGCGTCTGCGTTGGTTAAAGTTTTTTGTAAAGTCAAATATCTCAATTATTACTTGAGATATTCAATTGAAACTTACAATACTTATTTATAGTAACAAGGTACATCTGATTGACAAGTTGGATAACTCTGCCTACAATATTAACAGAATTATGCCCCTTTTTAACTTAGAAATTTTGGTTAAAGTTTTTTGTAAAGTCAAATATCTCAGTTATTGCTTGAGATATTCAATTGAAACTTACAATACTTATTTATAGTAACAAGGTACATCAGATTGACAAGTTGGATAACTCTGCCTACAATATTGACAGAACTATGCCCCTTTTTAACTTAGAAATTTTGGTTAAAGTTTTTTGTAAAGTCAAATATCTCCATTATTGCTTGAGATATTCAATTGAAACTTACAATACTTATTTATAGTAACAAGGTACATCAGATTGACAAGTTGGATAACTCTGCCTACAATATTGACAGAATTATGCCCCTTTGGAACTTGGAAATTTTGGTTAAAGTTTTTTTGTAAAGTCAAATATCTCAATTATTGCTTGAGATATTCAATTGAAATTTAAAATACTTTTTTATAGTAACAATGTACATCAGTTTGCAAAATTGCATAACTCTGACTGCAATATTTGCAGAATTATTTGCCCCTTTGAAACTTAGAAATTTTGGTTAAAGGTATTTACTTGAAACTTTACACATGCACTTAGGGTCATAATTGGAGGGTCATAATTGTATGTCACTGACCAAGTTCCATAACTCTATCTTGCATTAAGGCTGATTCATATCCCCTTTTCTTCTTAGTCTCTTGGTTAATGTTTACATGCAAGTTTTACATATCTCAATAACTATTAAAGATATTTATTTAAAACTTCACATATGCATTTAGGGTCATAAGTGTAGGTCACTGACAAAGATCCATAATTCTATCTTGCATTTAGGCTGATTTTTCTCCCCTTTTTCAACTTAGAAATTCATGGTAAAGTTTTGCTTGTAAGCTGTTATCTCAATAACTACTGAAGGGTTTGTGCCTGTTTTGGGACAATTTTATGCATTCATAATAATAAAGCAGTGATTTACTTGATAAAACATCTTAATAACAAGCCTTTGTACCTTTTCTGTCAAATTTATGTATTCATAGGTAATTAGTATTATTATACTCAATAAAACACCCTTGTGACATTACCTTCCGAATAGTCAAGCCAATACTGTATAATTAGACTCTCTCTAAGGCCTATAACATGAATTTATAAAAAAAAATTAGCCCTTTTGTGAACTTAAAAAATTTAAAATTATCAAGGCTCTTTTACTATCAAGCACTTAGAATAGTCGAGCGTGCTGTCCTACCGACAGCTCTTGTATTGAACATTGTTTTTCAAATTGTGTACAGTCAAACGACATTTGTAAAATTTGTTTCAGTGTTTGCGTCTATTATAAGATTTCAAATAACTATACCCTTGATAATAAGAAAAGAATATTTAGAAATATTGATATAAATATTAACTCTTTACAAAATAAGATAGTTTTAATGGTCAATAGATTAAAACATACCAGATAACTGTTGCAAAAATACCTTCATATTGACGAACCTGCCTGAATCATCCGAGAGCTTTAGAATTCTCCATGCGGCCTCGAAACTAAAGTAGATTGTTCGTAATATATCTATGTCCGTTTACGATTTCAGAATACATTTTTGATAACTTATATCATTTGAAAATTTAAAATTAAATAAATTCATTATTAATTACATGTATTTGCATATTTGTATTCATTTCATTTAAATCAAAATGTAAAACAAAATTATCTCGCCATATTTTATGTTATGTTTGTAATGACTTTTAACTGATAAAGATAATATTTTCTGTTTTCAAGATACAAAATGCTATGGAAGCCCTGGAGGGACATTTGATATTAATATTTAAAACTTAAAACTTATTATTTAATTCTTAATATTTAAAATTTAATTCTTAATACATGTATTTAAAAATTAATTCTTAATACTTAAAAATTAAGAACAGAATACATAAGACGCGGGTATTTGAATTCAACGGTCTCTTGCAAAAGGTTGCTACACGAAGAAAAATTTGCAAATTCGATATAGTTGATTACAGGTAATTGCCATTTTTTTTTAATATATATACAGAAATACTATATCTCGATTGTTATATTGTTCATGCTAACAGTTGAAACCATTAAGATATGTTAGTTTTATCATGGTGCCGCTTTACATTTTATTGACTACATGGTGTCAAAGGCAGCAGTTGAGAAATTTAATCAATACATTTTGTTCTGGTTGAAGCTTTAGTTTATTTAACGATAATGTTTAGTTGTTGGTGGTGGATAACAATATTACATGTTTACAGCCCCAGACCTTTGTTTTTATAACGCTATATTTCATTTATTTATATTTCTTTTAAGGTCGTAAACATGGAGATTCCGTTGCTGTTTGCCTTTATCATTTTATAGAAAGTGACTCCTGTGTCAACAGATGTGTCATCCCTATTGCCATCTGGAAACGGAAGCACCAGGTTAGAAGTGATTACGCAGTACTTTCATGCTGACTTCAAGTACGCACACATTGTTTTACTACAACATACG